TCGGTTAGAACTTGTAAAGCAACAACAGAGGCGCTTCTTGGGGATGAGATGAGCTCCGGGGCCTTTGTGGCACCTTGTGTGAAATGTTCTAGAAGGAATGGCAGCAACCGAGTGCTTCTGTATGCCCAGCCCTTTCCTAGAGTTCATATTGCTTTCAAGATGTATTGACTTGAAGGTCAGAGTTACAGATGAGAGTGATTTGTTTGTGTGCACATGTATGTGAGACACAGACAGGTCTTCCATTAGCTGGTTGACTCCCTAAATGAATACAATGGCCAGAGAAGGGCCAGGCTGAAGCCAGGGGCCAGGAGCATCATCTGGGTCTCCCATATAAGGGTGAGGCTCAAGTATTTGGGCCATTCTCTGCTTTCCCAGACACATTAGCAGGATTAGAATTGGAAGCAGAGATCCAGGACTCAATCAGCATCTTTAGGCGATGCTGGCATTGCAAGTGGCAACTTTACGCACAATGCCACAGTCCCTCATCGTTTTCTGAAGAACCACCTGAACAAGATAAGTCATTGTTTTTCATCCACACAAGGCCCCGTTTTCTTTCTAGGAACACCTACACCCACTGCACTCCTACTGCTTGAGTTCCCACTTATAGAAAAAGCAGAAAATTTGACTATGCAGGAATTTTCTTTTTTTTTTTTTAAAGATTAATTTATTTTTCTTGGAAAGGCAGATTTACAAGGAGAAGGAGAGATAGAAAGATCTTCCATCTTCTGGTTCACTCCTTAAATGGCCACAATGGTTAGAGATGAGCCGGTCCAAAACCAGGAGCCAGGAGTTTATTCCATGTGGATGCAGGGTCCCAAGGCTTTGGGCCATCCTCCACTACTTTCCCAGGCCACAAGTAAGGAGCTGGATGGGAAGTGGAGCCACCGGGATACATATTTGCATCCATATGGGATCTTGGTGTGTGATGGGGAGGATTAGCCAGTTGAGCCACTGTGCCGGGCCCAGGGGATTTTCTTTCATCGAATGAAGCTAACTAGTGTTGAAACAAACAAACTCTGGACCTGCGCCACCCAAATGACACCCTTCTGCCCAAATCCTCCTGGTCTTGGGCTTTTGTTCAATTAGAATCACACTTTAAGTTAGCCATTCCTTCCCTCAGTAGAGCCAACTGCAGCCATCATCAGAGGCCTGGGGGATGAGTGTCAAACATACCTGAGTTATCCTTACCTACAGCTGTGGAGATAAGCTGTAAAAAGCACATGGGCTGTGGCGAAAGCCACCCATCCCAGGCCTTCCTGCAGCTGTGCAGCCTGCCTGGGTGGGCATTCACAGAGGATGTCATGAGAGCAGGGGTGAGAAAGCAGTAGCTCCCAGGCTGGGCACTGCGGCTCAACAGGCTCAGCTGCTGCTGGGGATACGTGCAACCCTTGCCAGGGTGCTGAGGTTGAAGTCCTGCCTGTTTTCAGTTCAGCCTCCTGCTAATGTGCACCCTGAGAGCCACACCATGTGGGAGATTCTGATGTAATCCTGACTCTGGGCTTTGGACTGGCCCAGATCCAGCTGTTGCAGGCATTTGGGAAGAGAACTAGCAAACAGATCTCTGTCACTCTTTCAAATAAATGTGAATAACGACATTAAACGCAAAAGAAAATGGCTTTCCATCAGAAAAACAGACAACAAGCATGCAGCTATTCAGCTCCTACAGGACAGTGTCCTGGCCTTACACAGCGACTGCCGGGAGACTTCTGGTAGCATGCCTGAAGGTGGAGAGTCCAGGCTAGGTTCATAGAACCAGATGGTTATGGGGCACCTGACATTCACTGCAAAGCACTTTACACAGCTGGCTGCACTCACCAGCTCCATTAAACCAGGATGTGAACCCAAGCCTCCTTTCCCATCTCAGGGTCCTGTTGCAGCAAGATGCCTTTTTAATTAGAGCCAACCTGCACAGCAGTGGGCCTCCGCTTTACTGCAGTTTGGTGCTGCAAGGCAGAAAAGTTACTGTGTATTTTTCTAGGCAAGCAAAATGTAGATATTTAATATCAGGTATTTCTCCAGGGAAAGAACTTTCTCTAGCTCAGAGAAATAACACAAGCCTGGGTTAATTTTTTTGGTTTGAATTCTTCAAAAACAGAACATCCAGGCTTTTCTAACTATTGTCACAATAACTATAAAATATGAAATTAGTTAGGTCTTACTTGGCAATAATTTCAGGATGAAGAAACCAAGATTCAGAGGTTGAATAACTTGTTTAAGGTGACACAAATGACAGAGCTAAAATTCAAACCCAAAATGACCTTTTTTTCCCCCCCCCCTTTAAAGCTATTTATTTACTTGAAAGGCAGGGTTACAGAGGAGAGGTCTTCCATCTGCTGGTTCACTCCCCAGATGGCCACAATGGCTGAAGCTGAACTGATCCAGAGTCAGGAGCTTGTCCCTGGTCTCCTGCAAGGGTGCAGGGGCCCAAGGCCTCAGATTTGGGTCATTAGGCCTTCCCAGGCCATTAGCAGGGAACTGGACCAGAAGTGGAGCAGCCAGACTCAACTAGCACCCATATGGGATCAACATTCCCACCGTGGGAAGAGAGTAGCTTGCTATAACCCCGTGCAGCGGAAGTCACATTCTGAAAGGAGGGATTCTGAGTCCCTGTGTGTCCAGGAGCTGTGACAAAAAAAATGCGGGCGGTCTGTGAGGCCAGCCTGTGATGGTCTGCGGAGGGTTCTTCCGTCAGGAGGTTTCTTCCCGAAGGCTCCTTCCTCTGTGGTGGGTGTTTGGCCTAGTGGTTAAGTTACCAATCACCCTGGAGCCTTTAGTTCAATTCTCAGCTCCAGCTTCTGACTGGAACCACCACCAGTGCACCACCAGTGCAAGGTGTGGGAGGCGGTGGCAATGGCTCAAGCAGCCAGGTTCTTGCTATCTCCATGGGAGACCTGGATGGAGTTCTCAGCTCTCAGGTTCAGAAGCCCCGCGCTACGAGCATCTGGAGAACGAACCAGCAGATGGAAGCTCTCTAGTTTCTTTCTCTTTGCCTCTTCTATGCATACATACCAAAAAATAAATAAATAAATAAATAAAAGAATTATGATATGTAAACCTAAAAAGACAGAATTTATGGAAATTAATATATGTTCATACAATTACATAAACAAAACACACGTGGGAAACATGAAATTATTTCAACAAGACTCTTATACAGTTATTTCCTTTTGTTATTTTCCTAGTTTTATCACATAGTAATAATACACGCTCTTTAAAAAGATTTATTTATTTATTTTTTAATTGAAAAGGCACTTAGAGAGAGAGAGAGACAGAGAGAAAGATCTTCCACCTGCTGGTTCACCCCTCAAATGGCTGCAATGGTCACGCCTTATTAGATCCAAAGCCAGAAACCAGGATCTTCTTCCTGTCTCCCATGCGGGTGCAGGGTCCCAAGGCTTTGGGCCGTGTCCCTGACTGCTTTCCCAGGCCACAAGCAGGGAGCTGGATGGGAAGTGGAGAAGCCAGGACACAAACTGGGTCCATATGGGATCCTGATGCTTGATGGGGGAGGATTACCTGGCTGAGCAATAATGCTGGGCCCAAGAAATATTTTACTTCTCCATTTTTTTTAAAAAAAGGCTTATTTACTTATTTTTTATTTGAAACAGTTACAGAGAAAGGAGACACAGTGGGAGAGAGATCTCCTACCTGCTGGTTCATTCCTCAAAACTCCAGTTGGGCCAATCTGAAGCCAGGAGTGAGGAGCTTCTTCTGGTCTTCCATGTAGGTTACAGGGGTCCAAACAGTTGAGCCATCCCCCATTGCTTTCCCAGGCCACAATCAGGGAGCTAGATGGGAAGTGGAGCACCCAGGATACAAACTGATACCCAGATGGGATGCCAGCGCTGCAGATGGAGGCTTAGCCTACTATGTCATGGCCCAGATCCTTTACTGCCTCCTTGATTCTACCAGTGTTGGAAACAAATACCACGGACTTCAGTGGCAGATCATTCACCGGATTTCTAGCCAGGAAGACAGTCTCACCATCTCTAAGAAGCTGGAAAGTGTAAAGTTTCCAATGGTATCTGCAAACATATAGAGGAGGGGTGGGTGTGTGACACACTGGTGAATTCACCACTTGGGATGCCTGCATCCCTTATCAGAATATGTGGGTTCAAGTATCCACTCAACTTCTGATCCAACTTTCTGCCAGGCAGTAGGTCATGGCTTAAGTACCTGGGTCCTTGCCATCTACATGGGAGTTCTGGGTTCCTGGCTCAGTGCTGGCCAACGGAGGCAATCTGGGAAGATGGATGATCTGTCCTGGTTTGTGTGTTCATGTCTTTCTCCATTATGTTTTCAAATAAATGTAAATAAATAAAACTTTAAGAAGAAAATACACAAGGCAGAAAACTACAAAAATAAATGGCTCTCTAGATAGGCAAGAAATACAAAAGAATGCACTCTAAATAGTCAAAAAGAAGAGGGAAAAATCACTCAATGCATAGTCTCCTAACATAACCCTATCAGAGGGCTTCTGTTTTTGGACGACCCTCATTTCCCCCATTCTATCACAGGCATTCAAGCACCCACAGGCTGTCCTAAACTTCAATCTTCCCAACAGCAGAACTAGTTTTTTGTTCAAATCAGAGATGGATGAAACAGAGGAAACTTTTACTTGAAATATGCACTTATAAACACACACATAAATAATCAATCCTCATAAAATCATTTCCTATGTGTTCATGACATGGGAAAACATGTCTGGAAATGTTTCTAAGAGTGCCAGCTGAGGGGAACACCAAAATACCAAATAAGGAAAGCAGTGACCCACCTTTGGAATAAAGAGGAACCCCAATAGTCAGGGTTTAACAGCGCCCCTCTGCTGTGGCTGTGGTCTCGGGCCTGGCTTCTTGGGCTGACATTCACTTGAAGTCTATCATCTGACACAGTCACTTTCTGGGTTGTTAATCTACGAGCTGCCAGTGTTTACTTGTGAGACTGTCTGGGAGCTGGAAGGGAAGGAAGGCAAATACACAAGAGCCCAGCTGAGCAACTGCCAGGTTTTACATTTTATTTCCAGGAAATGACATCTTGCTTTTACAAAGAAGAGGTGAGTTAGCCTTTCAAAATACAGGTCCTCTTAGAGGTGGCCACAAGTACACTTAACCCGTGTAACACAATTATCAACAGAAATGCCTCAGATACCAAAACAGTGACAACAAAAACAACAAATTAAAAAACAATAATAACAAAACTCCAGTAATCCATTCAACATGTAGTGAAGCCAAATCAATTAAATACCCTAGAACAGAGTTGCCCCGAGTCTCACTGGTGCTGGCCAGCATGGCAAGGGTGACTGAGGGTGCCCGTGCCAGTCTGTGTCCCAGGTGACTTCTCAGATGACCTCTTGTGCAGCCTGAGTCGTGTCCAGAGGAAAGCCGCTGGACCACGCCGAGCTCCCACCGCTTGGCAGTCTTCCGCACACCCTTACAGCAAGCTCTTCAGCACAGCCGCTTTGCTTTGGAGGGAGAGAGGAAAAGAGAAATAAGGGAGGAGGCCTGTGCTTCCCACCCATGGGCTCCCTGCTGCCATCCTTGGCGCAGCAGCCAGAGTGAACTGCTCAGGTCCGCCCACCATTCTGTCAGAGCTGAAGTCAGAGCCCTACACCACCGCCCTGACCTGGCTGCTCACTCCGTCTTGCCACTGGGGCCTCTCTGTGTTCCCTGCAGAGCTTCTCTCCAGCAGTGCCTTCTCAGAGATGTCTCCCTGGACGTCTCCATCAAGAATTGCCTAAGCTTTCCCACCACTCCTTCCACTTTTTCTTGCTTTACTTTCCCGCGCAGCACAAATCACATTTAATTTATTAGATCTTCATTTCTCTGAATTTCCGGCATCTAGAATGTGCCCGGTAAGAAGCTGGTCCCCGGTAACTTTCTGCTGAAGGGCCCAGGAACACTCATGGGCCGGGTTGGGCGTAGGGGTGGGGGGTGGAGTTCATAAGGACAGGGGCTGCTCAGGCCTGATCGCTATTATCCCAGAATCTGGTGCTCAGTGGGTGCAAGAAACACCCAGAAGACAACAGCATGGGAGAGATTTTTTGTTTTTTAAGCGTGTGTGGCTGGTTCTGGTTGAAGTTTGAAGTGACAAGGGTGGAGCAGGTACCAACTTTCCAGGGTAGGGGAAAAAAACCACAAAACAAACAGACAAACAAAAACCAGAAAAGCCCCGGGTTGAAAGCAGCTACTTTTAAAGGACTGCCAAGACTATTCTAGGATGTTGGCTTTCTTTCTCTTCTGAGCTCAACTCAGAGAAACAGCTAAGGAAAGCACAAAGCGGGAGTGTTAACACTCTTGCCAACCGACTGATATCTAATGAGAAGAGAAATGAGGCAAAGGAACAGCTGAGAGAAGACTTCCTCCTCTTCTACCAGCTCCCCTTCTGGGGATTCCAAAAAATCTTGTTCCTTCAGAAATACCTCATGTCCAAAGTCCACAGAGCCACAGCCACTTGTGTGACAGGACTTCCAACACATGTGCTCCCCATCTGACAGCTCAGGACTCCAACATCCTGACCCCCTTTCTCCTCTCCTCTGCCTCTCAGACTTCACTGATCTGTCAGGCACCGTTCCTCCCATTGGGACAGTGTTTTCCCAACCAGCAGCAGTCAGGAGGGCCTGGGAGTGGGGTTGCTCCTGGTGAAATCAGGGTGCAGCCCCACCAGCAGGAATCGTCATCCACTGCCACAGGCAGGCGGCCTCCCTCTGAATGCATGTTAACAGCAAGCCCTGTCGGCCCTGCCACAGCATCAGGACTCTGTTAGAGGCTTGCCACTCACAGTTCCCAGATCCTAGGTGTGGTCCCTTTAAAAAAATTCCCATGCACTGGGGGATTAAATTAGCTTTCAAGGATGTCCTGAAACAGGCCAGGCAGGTTGGTGTTAGAGCTACGACTGGTCCCCAACCGCCACACTGCAGCACAGCGGAGCTGCCGACAGCTCTGGCACATCCTTCCCTAAATCGGGCCTCAGAACCTCTGTCTGTCTCTGGAGAAAACCTCAAAGCTGCTTGGGCTGAGATAACTGCAGAAACCAAGATGGGGTGCCAGAACTGCTCTCAGTCAATGTGTGCCACAGCAAGGCAGATTCAGTTTACCATACGGCCCCCTCGTGCTGCCAGAAAAGTGGAGAGGCACCATCTGCTGCCTCAGGAGAGGAAGGGGCGTGGGGGTGCTTCTGGTGTTATTTACTCTGCAGCATACACTCTGTGGAAGGGGATTCAGAGGTGACCTTAGGACACGGGACCCGTCTTTCCCTTCACAGGCTCCAGTGAAGCCACCCATCATACCTGGGAGCCAGAGGAGGCAGGGACATCCCCCTCCCCACACAGACCCAGTGCAGTAACCTGATCTTGGTCAACCCTGGATTCCCAAATCACCACTCCTACAGACAGGCAAGTGGAAAGGACAGAGTCTGCCAGGCCCCAGGAGGTACCTTTCTAACTAAGCCTTGGCAGTTCTCCTGATGTGAGTCTGGCAGCAGGGGCACATGTTTTGGATGGGCCACGAGGGGACAGGTGCAGGGCACAGTTGCTCACATCTGTCCTTTGCCTGTGCCATTTCTTGTGCTAGGGAACTTCTCAGGCACAGTTCAAACATCATATCCTCTGTGAAGCTCTCTCTACCTCCTGCCCCGGGTAGACAGAGCGACCCCTCCTCTGAAGCTTCACAGTATCCCGTTGTGGAACTACCACACTGCTTTCCTTTCTGTCTCCAGCACTAGACGGCGAATGCTGTGAGGGCTAAGAAGACGCCTTATTTACCTCGTTAGCCCAGTGTCTGCTGCATCTTCCCTACAAATGTTCATGGAGAGATGGGAGGGAAAAAGAAAACACAACGTGGTGCTGCCAGAATCGAGCAGCTCTGGGAGGTAGAAATCTGTACGAGCTCAAAACTGAACATGAAATTTTACAGCACATGTTGGTCAGAAAAATTAGAAACACTCGGGTTCCAAAGAGCCCACTGAAGACCTCCCATCTTCCCCACAACCCTGGGGTAGAATGTTGTTCTTGGCATAACAGGCACGGGCACACTTCCTCTCCATCACTGACAGTACCGGCTCTGTGACAAGCCTGCTGCTTCCATTCTGCCTCACTGACCAAGGCCAGTTTTATACCACAGCTGCCTACAAATCAGCATCAGATTCCTGGCTCTACTCAAAGTGGCTGACATCTGTTCAAGGGCTGGGGCAGGGACAAGAAGGCAGACATAAGATGCTGTTCTGAGCAGCGTGTGGTCTTTGGGCCTCCTGGCGGCTCCGGATTTAAAGGTGTAAGCAAAGACATGTGAACGTGGGTTCCCACAGGCCAGGTGGTGGGAAGCATCTGTAAGCGCGCGGGTTCCTGGTTCTTCGCTGATGGGCCTATTATGGGTAGCCAGTGGACACTACAGCACTTTGGCTCTGAAGCTGTCCCACAGGGCAGTGCTTCACCACACTGTTAAAGGGACTGAACGTGACAATCACAACCACTACACCTCTGAGCACTCCTATCCCTGGCCGATAATCAGTCCTTTTTACTCATCGGCTTCCTGGTGCACACTTTTTTTTTTTTTTTTAATTTTATGGTACAATTCTGTAGAGTTTGGGATTCCCCTGCCCCACCGACTGATTTTCGCCATATTGCCAGGACACATTCTTTTGCCACAAAGATTTTGAGTCTCAAGCAGAGAAGTTCTCCACAGCCCTTAGGTCAGCAGGCTCCATGTATGTTGGGATCATTTAAGTGAACAGATACCATAGAAACACAAGTCATTAGTGAAATTGACCCATCCCTCTCTCCATCTCTTAATCCAAACCCTGGCCGGCAGACTTTAGCAAATACATCAGGACCCTCAAGGACAACACAGAAAGGTACTGTTTATATCTCTTTAGCTTAACATTGTGCCCCATTTATCTAATTGAGTTGTGACTCTTATAGATAAAACCTGCATATCTGTTTCCTTTGGGCATTCTTCAGGCTGTGCATCAATGATTTGTGCACATGTTATTTATAATTCATTGTCTACCCAATTCAAGGACAGCAATTAAACTGTCTAGAGCAACAGCGCCCTCTGCTGATCAGTAAGCAATCTGACTGTGGGCTTTCTAATCACACCATTTTTTTTTTAATTGCCACAACCCAGGCAAACACATGCAGGTTCCCTTTCTACCTGTTCAAATTGTGGCTAATTCCACCCCAATTCTTTCTTACACATCAATGACTTTTCATTCCTTTAGTCTTTCATGTCTTCCACTGCTTTCTTTAAATCATCTGACTCCCTCTCTTCCCCAACCAAAAAAAAAAAAAAAAACAAAAAACAAAAAACAAAGAAACAACCCAAACTTTTAAAGTAAGTACCAAAGTATAGAAATTCTCACACCAACTTACCTTTTCGTTCCCTAATGAGGGCAATTCGTCGTTCTTTCACTTCTGAGCTCAGATTATCCACCATCTTACTAATGCAGTTGTCCAGAACCAGGGAGTGGGTTTTGGACTCAATGTCCTTCCGGCAAATGGGGCATTCTATTTTCCGCTTCATCCATTCCTTGATACAATAAGAGCAGAAGCTGTGGGCACAGTTCAAGGTGACGGCCTATGATGGGAATAGGAACAAACGTTAGAACTTTTATGCTTCCTTTCTTAGCAATTACTCTCTCAAAGCTAGGACACGAGCTATTTCCCAAGACCAACTGGAAAAATAACCACAGTACTATCTGGAGGGCTCAGAAAGGGTATCAGAATCGTGCTTGCGCTGGGATATTAGATGACTCACTTTGTCCTTTCTCAAAGTTAAGGATACAGACTCAGGCCCCAGGTGGGCCGATTTGGCCCACTTCATTTCTCCTTGTCAACCACACCAACAATGTGGGTTAACCATCCTGACACTGACAAATGTTACTGGGTCCATGAAGAATGAGTATATGTGTGAATATGCAAATATGTCACTAATTTTCTTATAAAAACCAACTTAGCTATTGCTTACTAATCAGCTGGAATCCCAATTTTTAATATGCCAAATACTCAGCTTATCAGATGGTAGGAGGCATCATCTTTGAAAGGAACAAAATTTCCTGAGGCTCAAAAGTCCTCCTTTCTGCTCTTAAGACAGCAGTGGAAAACAACATCTAAGTTACACATTTTTCAAAAGCCAAGCTGAGGTCACAAAACTGAAAAAGTAGGAGATATTGTTCACTATACGGATTAAATTCACAAAACAGGACTAAAAACTGATGTTACAAAGCTGACATTAAAAGAGAGCCAATGGAATAGGTCAGGTGGTGCTCTGTGAGCAAAACAGAGGTCAAGGTGTTTGTCTATTTGCTGTCCATACAGATGTTCTGAGGTGATTAACTTGTCACTCACTCCAACATCCCTTTCCTTGTCGTTTGCTACCAGAGACCACAAGTCCTGTCAAGATAACAGAGTTTCTCTCAAGTAGCAAATCATCTGACTAGAAACTGAGGGAGAAATTACAACCTGAAGCTAGAGTGAACCCAGAGAAAATAAACAGAGAAGATTTTTTCAGGAAGCCAGCAGACTGAGCCTAATACTGCCTGAGAAGAGCAGTGTGTGCACGTCTGCCCTTGTAAAGGAGTCAGAAAAGCACTGTCACTGGACAACCTGAGCTTAACGCCTGCAGTCTAACATGAACTGGTCATTAACGGTAGGAACCGTGAAAAATAAAGGAGCTTGTGCAAAAGCAAGACAGGACAATAAGTGAGAGCCTAGGAGAGAGATGTTTCATTTCAGACCTCTGAATTTTGAATTCCCAAAGTGACCACACATCCTTGACGTTTATCATTCTGTTTAAATGCTGCCTGACAGGAACAACTGTTTCATTGAGCATTCAGGCCTCTACCGTCCTACATCTAAGTTCAATACCCAACTCTGGTTCCTGACTTCAGCTTCCTGCTAACCCAGACCCTGGCAGGCAGTGATGATGACTCAAGTGGCTGAATTCCTGCCAACAGTGGGGAGATAGGGATTACGTTCTGAGGCCCCAGCTGCAGCCTCGGCTGAGACTGTGGGAGCTCTCCCTCTCTCTGTTCACCAGTTAAATTGAATTTAGAAATGTCTGCTTACTCTCAATTTTACATCCACTCAGAGTCAACAGAAGTATTTCTGGGCTGTTTTATTTTGATACTTAGGCTATGTGATCTGGTTCCCCGCATACCAGTAAAAGAAATAAAGGCTTTTTTTGCAGCTAAAAATGTTAACCGTGCCAAACAAATATTTAGGAACAAATGAAATGAGGAAAAGAACAGTGACGAGAAAGAAGGCCACAAAAGCCACTGAGGAGTGCGTGCTCCAGAGGTCACTTTGAAACCAAACAGCTGTAAGTTCTTAGAAGAAAAGAAATTTCTTCATTGGGTCTGTGTACAGCAGAAGCAGCATGCATGGCCCAGGGGCTCTTTTGTGCTAGGAGGGAGACAAGAGATGCACCACTGGTCATGATTACCTCAATGAAGTATTCTGAGCAAATAATACATTGGAGTTCATTTTCCAGCACATCATTCATCTGATTAAGAACTTCCTCCTTCTGTGCTCGCACCTTCTCCTTCTCTTCCTGCAAAAACACACATAACCCCATCTGTCATCTGGGAGCACCAAGAGCAGTACAAAACAAGACAGGGAACTGGGTTCATTGTCTGGAACAGGATCCAGAAGGAACCTAAATTAAAAATTCATTCTGGCACAGCAATTCAAGAGTAAAACACTTTTGCTAAGAGTTATCATTTATTAAGAACTGCTTTCTAATATAAAGCAATAACTTTTCTCCCTTCTTTTGTTTTAAAATTTATTTTTTATTTGAAAAGCAGAGTTACAGCAAGGAAACAGAGAGAGACAATTTACACTCCCCAAAAGGCTGCAATGGCTGGAGCTGGGCTGGTCCAGAGCCAGGAGCCTCCTCTAAGTATCCCACATGGGTGCAGAGGTTTAAGGCTTTTTGCCATTCTCCATTGCCTTCCCAGGCCATAAGCGGGGAGCTGGAAGGGAAGTAGAGCAGCTGGGACACAGACCTGTGGCCAAACGGAATGCTGACATCTAGGTGGAAGCCCAGCCTGCTATGCCACAGCACCAAACCCAAATTCCTTGCTTCTTTCTCCCACTTGCTATGGTCTGAATCTTGTGTCAAGCCTTGCCCTCCACCATTCATCTGCTGAAAACGAATTCCCATGTGATGGCAGTAAGAGGTGGGTCCTTTGAGAAGTGACTAGGTGATGAGGGGTCAGCCCTCATGAGTGGAATCAGAGTTCTATTCAAGAGGTCCAAGGGAACAGGTGTACCTCCTCTACCATGTGAGGACACGGCAAGAAGATGCAGTCTCTGAGTCAGAAAGCAGGCCCTCTCCAGACACTGAATCTACCACAACTTGATTGTGGACTTCCCTGCCTGCAAAACTGAAAAAACAGGACAGTGAAGAGGGTTGGGACTCATTTTTACTTAAAGTCAATGTTCCTAAAAACTCATCCATCAATGGGTTTAAAAAGTTGTGGTAGTTTCTCTTGGGCTGGGGAAGATCCTAAATGAATTAATCAGAGGACAAGGATAGGAGATAAAAAGTCCCCTGCTCCTCTGTGTACTCAGCTCTACCTGAACAGGAAGTGGAGCGGGACTCAGGTAGTAATTTTAGGTCAGGGGTTGCAACTGATAGCTTGCAGACTGAGTTTTGCGTAGTAAGAGCTACAGTGCAAAAAAACCCAAAAAAACAAAAAACAAACAAAAAAAACCCCGAACTTGTAGCTAATGCTTCAAAATTGAGGTCTTCAAATAAACATTTTGGTTTCTTTCCGCTGGGGGAAATCAGAGGATTGGACAGCCCTGGGCTTGCATTTCTGGATACATTGGTTGGCTGAAAAGAGAAGAGTTGCTTTCTGAGGTTGGGTAGGGCAAGCACTCCCAAGCCCCTGGTCCTGGGTCCACCAGACCCCAGCACTCCCCTCTGTGCCTTCACAATTGGGCTACTGGATGCTGTTACCCATCAGGCCTGGAGAGAAGTCAAGAACTTCCCTGATTTGACATGGGAAGACACGACACCAATGCATCAAGATGAACTCTTCTGCTGTGCTCTCATATACCATTCCTCAGTATGTTATCAGTGACTCGCTCTGAAACAGTACCCACCACGGAGAAAGGTCTGGAATGCAAGAGGCTCATCCTTTAGTCTGGCAGTTCCTTTCAGAACATGGGAGGGCAACAGACATGGTCTTAAAAGGACAGAACCTTCTCCAGGCTTGAATAATTTTACAGATTATTTCCTCCGGGAGCAATGGGACACCCATAATCTTTCTTCATTCATCACGGCAACCCTTGCACTACTGAAGATGCCGAGTTGCAAGTACTAACCAAATTCTAAACCTCCATCTTCTTTCCAGTACCTTGGTCTGCTCCAGTTCTCTGTTCTTGGCTTGAATGATCGCTTCGAAGTCCTTCTTGCTGCGGTTGAGCTCCTCCGTCAGAGCCTGGTGCTGCAGAAACATGGCAGATTCACACTCGGGACGAACCACACAGCACCTTCCCTTTCAGCCCGTGCCCCCAGCCCCCAGCCCCAGCCCCAACACTCTAGTCATTTTCGTTGGTTCAAGAAATCAATGAAATAGGTCAGCCACTCTCCGGCTTTCAGCATTCAACAAAAACTCGTGTGTGTGTACCAAATTAATGAAATGGCAATTTCAAAACTCAGGATAGCCCGTCTATATCTGTTGTTGTTTTCCCAGAAAGAAGTATAAGGAGGAAGGTCATCAAACCCGTTAGTTTCTCTAGAAGTTTCCCAACCTCAGTGGTCAATCAAGAGCAGCTGAAGGAATTCCACTGCCTTTGAAACAATCTGACTTCTGAAGGTTTGGACTGTGGCTCAGGAATGTACATTCTTTTAAAGATTTATCCTACATGATTCTGAAAACTTGTTGCTTAAGAAATAGTGAGCAATTACGAGGCAACCCTGTACTGGAAGTAGCTTTCAAGGAACAATCATGAGGAAATGGGATTCAGGGAGCTTAGACAATCACTTCCATCAATTTTTTTTTTCAAAAAGCTGTCTGACCTATTTCTTCTGCAAAGCACATACTATATGCTTATAAGGTGATGCCGCCCAAACCCTGCCAGTATCTTCTGGATCCCAGCAGATCCAGAAGCTAATAGCTCATTCACTGTGACCAAAAGCCTACCATGAATGTCAAGAAATTCCATGTTGACAAAACATAGTTTATGACCTATGGGTCTCACTTCATTTAAAATTTACTTTAAAGGCACATGCTAAAAAGGTAAGTGTTTTTATTATCAAGAAACAAATTTTAACATTTGTGATATCCTGAAGAAAGCAGTAATGTCAGAAGGCCTGGGTCTTCATCATGACTGCTAATTAGGTATGTGTGGCTTAACTCTTTCATTTATAAAACGCGAAAATGGATATTCCCCTACCCTGATATTGATCACATAATAGCAGTGATGAGAAGCACTCAGAAAAGTTCTTAGAGCTCTCTGAATATTCAAGTTTTTATAACAGCCTGGTAAACAGAATAACTTCAAGGGACCAGCAGGGTGAAATTAAAATAGTTATCACTTCAGTTGAGACAACAGTGTCCTCCAAGCAGAACGGTGTGGAACCATGACCCAAAAGTGAGTGACTACAAGGCCAAGTACGCTGTACTACATGGTAGTTTGCTCCTACAGTGAGGCGTGGTAGATGCAGAATGCCCAATAACCCATTAGGGATCAGCAAAGAGCAGCACTTTACTGTTTCCCAGTCATTTTCGAAACAGTACCTGAATACTAATTTAGTAAGGCTCCTGAGGAAACATATCTACTTCCCACTGTAGAAAATAAATAATCTCAAAAAATCAAATTCTAAAAAGACTGAATTAATTTTCACCTAATTTTTCCCAGAGCTATTTGTGCACCCCTTAAGGAAATTAAGGCAAGCACCTTGTCATGCACACAAAACTGTGGCTGTGAGTCCTGTGTGGCTGCGAGACAGGCACGCAACGGAGGAACATAAGAAGTTCCCTGAACACATTCTAACATAACTTGCTTCCTTTTCAGAGGAAAATGTGAACCATCCACTAACCTTCTGACTAAACTTGCATCAGATCACTCTCTGTGATACAGGAAAGACAGAAAACAACAGGCTCTGAAGAAGCAAGAGAACACGTGAAGAGAACAAACGAAAGAAGGAGTCAGGCTAAATGAAACAAATTACAGGAAATTTACAGGAGAATTTTATTCTTGTGAGCTCTGCCTCTGTGTTAAATCAATGTTTTGCTATTAAACAGCACACTGTCAACCTGACCTAAATGCTGAATGGGAACATTTCTGAATGGTTTCTGGACGCCTACAGCTCAGAGCTAATGGAGGCGCTTCCTGGCACCAGCGGCTGCATCCGAGTCTGCATTCCCCTCACCTTTCTAGAAGTAGAGCCACTTCTCTCAAGAACCTCCTAATTGCTGTGGGCTCTGTTCCATCTTCAACTAGAGCAACTTCCACTCAGATGAAGACGTTAAGTTTTCATGCTGAGGGTTGGCATGTCTGTGAAGCTCCAAATCTCCAGCCTGATGGTGTGAGCAGCTGCCACCTGCTCTGTTTGCAGATTGGAGATGCCACAGAGGTGTGGGCTGAGCAGTGGTGGCCACGTGATGCCTGCTGCTCCCCACTCGCAGCTCACTACAATCTCAGGACAGCGGCAAGAATTAAGTTACCTCTTGCAGAGCCTGGACCAGCTGTTGCTTCAGGTCCTCTTCTCCTTGTTCCTCCTCCAAACCCTGCAAAGCCAAAACAAAATAGAAAGTTGCTCTGCAGGGAGGAGAAAAGGGGAACAAAGTCCACAACAGATGGAGCAGACTAGCTTATGTGAGCCTCTAGAAACAACAGGGAGCAGGGCGTAGGGGAAAGCTCCTGTTTTACCTCAAGCTGTTGGCAGCAAAGGATCTGCCCAAATACTGCACCCCTCCGGACTGTCGGCTTCAATCTACCATTTGGGTTCTGGAAAAATCAGGAGCTGACAGTCTGGACCTCCCTTACTGGCTGTAGCAGGCTGAGACCCCTTAAAGGATGTACACTGAGAGGAAGCCACCATGCTGGTACTCATGAAATCCACATTTCTGCTGTTAATTCTGGCCACCCTATCACTGCTTTCTTCTCAGTTTCTACCTGCTTGTGGCCTCTAAATGGCTTCTCTTTCTCCTTGCCTGAGCTTTTACAGCAATTTCCTCCACTGGCCCAATTCAATATATTGACTAAAAACTGTTCTCCAATTATATTACGCATATGATACATCTCATCTCCTCAATAAGATTAACTGCTTAATGGCAAAAACCACTTATGAAGCATTTTTATACCCACCAGAACTCACAAGGTTAGTGCCAAACATATCCTCGTGTTCAAAATAAAAATCTGTATGAAGCAGCAAGCTTAAATGAGTTTCTGAACATAGGATAGGGGTAGAACAAATCCCTAGGGCTCAGTGGGCTCACGGAAATGCAGTTGATACTGCTCATCATGAGTGACTTACACAGGATCTTATACCTACAGCAATCCTCTAAATCAGGGCCCGGTACTGTAGCCTAGCAGCTAAAGTCCTCGCCTTGAACACACCGGGATTCCAAATGGACGCCAGTTCTAATCCCAGCAGCCCCACTTCTCATCTACCTCCCTGCTTATGATCTGGGAAAGCAGTCGAGAACGGCCAAAAGCCTTGGAATCCTGCACCTGCGTGAGAGACCCAGAAGAGCTCCTGGCTCCTGGCTTCAGATCGGCACAGCTCCGGCTGTTGCGGACACTGGGGGAGTGAATCATCGGATGGGAAATTTTGGTCTCTCTGGTCTCTCTGGTCTCTCCTCCTCTCTGTATATCTGACTTTGCAACATAAATATTTACACCCCCGCCCCCGCAAAAAAAGGCCTCTAAATCAATCTTTTTTCCTTTTCTTAAGCATTTTGGTACAGAGAAAAAATTTTCAGCTGCTCCTAGGAACATGCCCAGAGCAGTCACAATCATTAACAAACTCTTATGCTTCAACATATTATTCTTCAAATAAAGTTCTTCCTTGGCATAGTATGAAATACTACACATGTAGGGATAAACTGCCCTCTATTAATTGCAACAACTAGTCTAGGTTGGATAAACAAAGCAAAGAGATATACATAAACAACCACCGTAAACATTAAAAGACCTATTTAATCCATGGCCTTTGCCATGTTCAAGCGGCTAGCAGAAATTACAGCAAAAATCTGTCAATTGTTCAGAAATAAGCCAACACTACTCCTGTTCATTCCTTGCCCTGAGCAAATCACACAGAAAATAAAGGCTTATTCACTTCAGTTGTGACTGGTCCTTCTTAGTCCTAAGTCAACAAGGGGGAATTCTTGACATTCAGTATTACCTGAACAACTGCTGGGAATAAAACATGTGGTTCCTGCCAGATGGGAACTGACATTTGGAGCAGGGACGGGATTAGTTCTTTCTTAAAGCTTTGTATAAGAGCTTGTCATCTAAGTAAACGACCCAAGGATGGGAGCACGTTTGGTCTCCCCTTGACACAGCTAAGATGGTCATGATTTTGTCTTCCTACTAAAGGCATGATGGAAGGTGGCTTATCACTCAAACCAACAACAGAACCATGGCGTATCCAACCCTTCTCTTACCGGTTGCTTCAGATACAAACAAAAAACATTTTCTGCCCTTCTAGCCTCTCATCTCCTAGTTACAGAGCTAACTAACGCTCATAGCTAACAAACTGCCAGGCACAAGGGCAGAATAACCAGATGACCTGTACCAGCCTTGAGGTTAAGTGACATGGCCACAGAGAAGGAATACGTAAGTCATGTGCAGATGCTGGTCTAATTGGAGGACCCTTGTTTTGTGATCCTGACCTTTTCTTTCACTTCTCTCCAAATCTACCTTGGTCCTGAAATGTCTCAGCTCTGTGTCCTGAGATCCATTATGGATTAGAAGGCTCTGTAAGTCAAGAGCCTTACCTTCCCTGTCCTGACACCCCAATCCTGGCTGATGAGAAATCAGGCATGTTTAAATCTCTTACTCAATCTTAGTCTAAACAGCTTTCTATTCTCATTCCATTTCCTGCCCTAGGTCCTCAGCATTTGGTCCTTGACCCAAGAACAGAGAGGTCTGGGCAGAGGCTCATAAAGCCTGCCATAAAGTCCCTGCCCTCCAAGGGATACACTGGCCCTTCCCGCCCATCTGAGTACCTGGAGATGCTGTTCCTCTTCTTGGAACGTCTTCTCCAGTTCTTCTAGTCTCGCCTGCTGCTGAGCTTGTTCTTCATACAGCTGGGAATGTAAAGTCTGCAGTTCCTCCTCCATTTTTGCAATTTTGTTCAAGTTCCCCTTTTGGGTCTGTCTCTTCACATTCAGAACAGCCATCTGCTTTTCCTGCAACACGTCTTTCAGCTTCAGAATCCTGGACATGGTTACCCTGAACAGCTCTAAGCTGCACTGCGACGTTGAAGACGTTGAGCCTGGCAGCTTGTGAGGAGGAAGTGCTACGGACTTAGGGGGTTTGGAGCAGACGGCAGCCCCCGAGATTTCCTCCCGTGCCTCCACAGAGGTCAGCTTGGGATCCAAACACTCAGAGGGTTGACAGGGCACTTCACCGTTCTCATGTGACTTCACAGGGTGGCCAGGTTCACAAGACACCTTACCTACTTTAGATGTCAAGTTTGAGGAGCCTTCGGCTTCAGAAACCTCTAATTCACCCAAACTCAATTTCCGTTTAGTTCTCAAGTTGTTATTTTTTTCCATCTGCTTACTCTTCAGAAGACAAGGAGCTATCCGCTCCCAATCTTCTTCTGTAACTTCATACTCATACTCCGCATTCACCTTATTTTCCAGAGGTACCCCAAGTTGGATGTGGTCTCCTGGACAGATGGAATAAAACTTCAAGGGCTCCAGACGCATTCTGTTCAGCCAAACACCATTCAGGCTCTGGGAAAAGAGAAAGACGAGGTAAGCCACATGAGTTTCCTTCTCTTAATAGGATTTCTCTCATGCCATTGCAAAACCTGTTTTTTCAAAAGGAAAATCCTTGAGAACAAACAGAAAATAAAGGTTCATAAACTACTGTCCTTAGAAATAGAATTCTTCAAAGCTTTTTGCCTTTTTATCTACATTTCACATTCATGCCTCCATAGAGAACTAGCCAACATGTGGGAATCACCTTACCACTTGGACATGAATTACTCAACCAGGTGCAATCACATTAAAGGCAACAAACTCTTGACAAGCACCAGAGGCAGCGGCCCAAGATTGGAGAAAGCAGTTTTTGAGGGAATTTGTATTTAATGGTGAGGTCCATGAGGCTTGGGTAGGAAAGTCACTCAGGCACTATTTGTAGATGCGGTATTTGGATAAACTTCCCACAATGCATAATCCCAAGAAAAGGAGTATCAATGTCAAACTGCAGGTAGGATCTGACCCAACTAATATCAGTAGAGGGCCATGAGCATTAAAGTACAGCAGTTAAGATTTGGAGCTCTTGGGACCAGCACAGTACCATAACTTGCTGATCCTCTGACTGTGGTGCCAATATTGGCTCTAGTCCTGGAAGCTCCAGTTCCAATCCAGCTCCTGCTAATGACCTGGGAAAGCAGCAGAGGATGATCCAGAGGCCTTGGGCCCTGGTATCCACATGGGAGACCCTGGCTCCTGACTCCTCACTTTGGATTGACTCAGCTCCAGTCATTGCTGCCATTTGGGAAGTGAACCAATGAATGGCAGATATCTCTCCCTCTCTCTCTCTGTTTCTCCCTCTCTCTTATCCTTTCAACTAAAAATAAAAATAAATAAGAAATCTTAAAAAAAAAAAAAAAAAGGATCTGGAGCTCTGGGTTCAGATAGACTTTCAGACAGACCTGAGTTCACAGTCTAACTGCACCACCTTGGGCTTATTATTAGCTGCAAGGTCTTCAGTACTTTATTTAAGCCTTTTGTTAAACAGGTATAGTGTAGGAACTACCTCATACTGTTCCTATTAAGAGTGACTAAGATAACACATGTAAAACAGACTCATAGACAACAAATGCTTGATAAACATTTTCTTTTGTGGAAGCTACAGTGCATGGGTAAAGAAAAAGGACCCTAGAATCAGACTGTAACCTGGCCCTACTATTTAACAGTTGTATGATTTGGGGCAAACTTCTTTCTTTAATTAAAAAATTAATTCCATATTTTTATTGTTTTGAAAATCAGAGAGATACAGAAACTTCCATCCACTGGTTTATTCCCCAAATGCCAGCAACAGTGCTGGGCCAGGACAAAGCCAGAGGCCTAGAACTCAATCCAGCTCTCCCATGTCAGGGGGTGGGGAACAGGTTCCAATAACGAGCCATCATCTGCTGCTTCCCAGGTTCCCCTTAGCAGGAAGATACAACTAGAAGCAGAGCTGCGGCTCAAGCCCAGGCACTCCGACATGGAATATAGGTATCCTATGTGACATCTTAATCCATTGTGCCAAATGCCCATCTCCCAGGCAGATTTCTTGATCTCTCAATTGATTTTTTTTTTAAGATTTATTTTTATTGGAAAGGCAGATATACAGAGAGGAGGAAAGACAAAGAGGAAGATCTTCTGTACGATGGTTCACTCCCCAAGCAGCTGCAACAGCTGGAGCTGATCCAGTCCGAAGCCAGGAGCCTGGAGCTCTTTCAGATACAGGGTCCCAAGGTGCAGGGTGCAGGGTCCCAAGACTTTGGGCTGTCCTCTACTGCTTTCCCAGGCCACTGTGAGCTGGATGGGAAGCAGGGCTGCTGGGATAAGAACCAGTGACCACGGCGCATGCAAGGCAAGGACCTTAACCACTACACTATTGTGCCGGGCTCTCCATTGATTTTTAAACAGTCTTTCCCTCATGGCATTTATATGAATTTAGTAACACAGAGAACATGTTCACAAAAGTACACGGCACATGGCATCACATAAATGTTCACTATTATATTGTTTTGACTCTACTGAATGACCATCAGCACTTCAATCTCATGCTTAGCAGCTTCCGAGGTAAGCAGACTGAGTGCAGAAGTAGACAATATGCACACAACATTTAGCAGCTGAATGTGGGAGAGGACAACACAAGGACACAGATAAGTAAATGTGGGATTGCATGGCACAGCCTATAAACGCAAAGGAGCATCATGTGGAGCTGGGTCAGCTCAGGAGCTAAGTGGAAACGACAGGTCAGAAAACAGACTTGAAACAAGCACACACTTGAGAGTTAAAGATACCGGTAAGCATTTTAACTCAAATTAAGGATTTGTTTTTAGGAGACAGGCCTGAGATAAAGCTCATTCTAAACCAGGACTAATATGTGGGTTTACATTACTTACTTTCATCCAGAAAAGAAATAAATAAACAAATAAAAATAAATCTTTGTTAACCCAATATGAGGCACAGAGGACAAAGCAAAGAAGAACCAACAGCAGTGGTCACGTTAGTTGATTCCTGAAACAACACATGGGGAATAAAGGGAGATGAAGCCACAATAATCTGCTTGAGAACAATTTTAGAAAATAGCCAATTTTAAATTATAGATAAGAAAACATTCTCTGGAGAGGACAGCAATGTTGTACAGCACGTTAAGCTGTCACTGCAATGACATGTGGGTGTTACTGGTTCCAAGTTCTGGCTGCTCCACTTCCAAGCCAGCTCCCTGCTAATAGCCTGGGAAAGCATCAAAGGACACCCCAAGTACTTAGGCTCCCAAACCCATGTGGGGGACCTGGATAAAGCTCCTGGTCTCTGACTTAGCCCCAGCCATTGTGGCCATTTGAGGAGTAGACCAGTGGATAGAACCTCTCTCTCTTTCCTTCTCTGTAACTCTTTCAAAGAAACAAATCTTCAAAAAAAAAATTTATCAGGGAAAGAGGTCATGTCACGTAATGCCAAGTCACAGAATTTAAAGGCAAAGGGCCCGGCGTGGTGGCGCAAGTGGTTAAGGTCCTTGCCTTGCACGCCCGGGATCCCATATGGGCGCCGGTTCTAATCCCGGCAGCCCTGCTTCCCTTCCAGCTTCCTGCCTGTGGACCGGGAAAGCAGTCGAGGACGGCCCAAAACTTTGGGACCCTGCACCTGTGTGGGAGACCCGGAAGAGGCTCCTGGCTCCGGATCGGCATAGCATTGGCCATTGTGCTCACTTGGGGAGTGAATCATCGGACGGAAGATCTTCCTCTCTGCCTCTCCTCTCTGTATATCTGCCTTTCCAATAAAAAATTTAAAAATCTAAAAAAAAAAAAAAAAAAAAAGAAAAAAGAAAATAAGCTTCTAGAATTTCCCCATCACATTTTACCCTTGGATCCCTCCAAGTTTACCGACTCATCACTTCTCAGTGACATCTAGTGGTATAACTTGGACTATAGCCCGCAGTCAGGTGTGTTCACAAGGTTACTTACTGTAGGAAAGAATGAAAATCCTACAGCTGCCCAAGAACAACAGTGCAGGATACACTATGAAATACAACTGTTTAAGCAAATGGTATCCTGCTCAAGGCTTTCCTGAGGATAGTGGTGTTTTCTTTTTTTTTTTTTTAAAGATTTATTTTTATTATTTTTTTATTGGAAAGGCGGATATACAGAGAGGAGAGAGAGAGAGGAAGATCTTCCATCCGATGATTCACTCCCCAAGTGAGCCGCAACGGGCCGATACTGTGCCGATCCGAAGCCAGGAGCCTCTTCCGGGTCTCCCACGCGGGTGCAGGGTCCCAAAGCCTTGGGCCGTCCTCAACTGCTTTCCCAGGCCACAGGCAGGGAGCTGGAAGGGAAGCGGGGCTGCCGGGATTAGAACCGGCGCCCATATGGGATCCCGGGCGTGCAAGGCGAGGACTTAACCACTTGCGCCACCGCGCCGGGCCCCGATAGTGGTGTTTTCAAAGTCTTGTGACTGAACAATGTCAGTAGCAGTAAAATGATACCCAAAGAAAACCCTGCTGGGTGTCTTCTGGATAGCAATGGGAAAAAAGCCAGAAATTACTTCACTTGATGCAAAATTTATTTATTTATTTGAAAGTCAGAGTTAGAGAGAAGGAGAAACATAAAGAGAGATCTACTTTCTGATTCACTTCCTAAATAGCTATAATAGCCAGGCATGTGCCAGACCGAAGCCAGAAACCTGGGTTGTCTACCAAGTTTCTCATGCAGGTGCAGGGGCCCAAGTGCTCTGGCCATCTTCCACTGGCTTCCCAGGCATGTTGGCAGAAAGCTGAATCAGAAACAGAGCACCATGGTTGCAAGCTACAGCCCAGAGAGTATGCCAGATTGCAGGTAGGGATTTAACCTGATATATCACAACAATGACCACTGTCCAGCTGTTTTTAAACAGCTGTAGAGAGTGGAAGCCCAAAGCCACCAAAAGCAATGTTTTCCTGGCGTTTTCTAGATGACTTATGTAGCTCAGTGGTCCTCAGTTCTGACAGTACAGAAAAATAACTTGGATGGTTTAAAGCAAATGGCAGTGCTGAGGTCTCACCCTAGACTAAGGTAGCTGGTCTCAAATTGGAACAAGGTATCAACATTTTCATTTTTTAATCTTTGACAAGTTTTTAAAAAATGTCTAATGAGCCAGTGTTATAATGTAGTGCATTAAGCCACCATCTGGAATGCCAGAAAACCACATCAGAGCCTCTCTGCTTCCAATCCAACACTTTGCCCATGCACCTCATGCTGACTCAACAACTTGGGTTTCTGCACTTATGCAGGAGGCCAGGTCCAGCCCTGGTCATCTGATCATTTAGGGAATTAACCAGTAGACAGATTTCTTCTGTCCCTCCTGGTCATTCTGCCTTTGAAGCAAATCGAACAAATCTGTTGAAAGCATATTTATTATTTTAACCAATGTCAAAGACAGCAAGAGAGAGAGAGAGAAGCTTCCAAGCTTCCTTGCACTAGTTCACTCTCCAGATGCCTGCAACAGACAGGGTTGGGCCAGGCCTGGGCCAGGCC